TTGTATAAGAGTAACATGACGGGTGTCACATGTAGAATAGGATCTAATAACCCTTCTGGAGCACCTGAGATCACCCCTGGTATTTGGTGGGGTTGGTGTTGCCCATTCTTTGTTTTATATGTTGTGATTTGTAAACTGTTGTTTGTCTTTTGATCTTTTTTCGTTTTGTCCTATGGTATAATCAGTTCGTTTTCGACTTTTGAATTGAGTTTGACTATCCCTTGATATCTCTCTCTTACGTATCACATTTTCCCTTTGTTAATACAAATAACAACCCCGGCTTATAATAAAAAACCAAATAGACGAACAATAATATAACCAAACAAACGAAGAAACAAACAAATAAAAGAAACAAACAATAGCTGAAATGAATATTATCAGACACAAAACTGTTTTGACATCCAATGACCTAGTATGATCATTCATTGGCTGGCTAAAATGAAATGTTCATCTGTTGCGCCAACGTATTACGTTGTTTTAACAATGGATATTCAAAGGCATGTGGTTGCCAAATGTTTCTCATTGCTTAAAACAAATAACTAAAAAAAAAAAATTAAAAAATAACACAGCCGTAAACCTTGTGTTTTGATTAACAAATGGCATGTTAGTAATGTTTTGATTAACAAATATATATGTGTTTGCGTAAAATAATCTTAATCGATAGTCGATGACACACGACTTAATTATATAAAGGTAATTTAATCGGTATAATGTTATAGAGAAAGTCCAAATAACTGTCCATTCCTGGGAAATAATGGAGCGGATGCCCATTATTTCCCAGGAATGGACAGTTATTTGGACTTTCGCTAACTTAAAATATACCTTAAATTTAAAAAAAAAATATTCAGATGTTAACATTTTAAAGAATTTAATTTCATTTTGTAATGGTTTTCTTTTCATTTTCCCCGTGTTGTACCCAATAATCTACAGGGTAAATTTGAGATCAAGCAGACGATCTACTCACGTAACGAACTATTTATGAACAGTAGAATAATTACTATAAAAAATCTTGAATAAAGTTCATCCAAATTTATGTTTTAAGATCGTTTTTACCCGATCGGATACTACCCGTCACAGAAATTCAGTCAAGATTTGCTTCGGAAAAACAAATTGTGGATAATGTTGTGGAATTTTAGTGAATACGACACTATATATTATATTCTATTATATTATACGATAGAACTACGACTCGCAAATAAAAGCTGTTTATTAATAATGAGATATTTGGTGTTCATTGTATTACTACGATCCAAATTTAAAAAAAACGAATATCAGCCGTTTGAGTAAGTTTTTATCTTCGTGCAATATCGCGTTTCGTCCTTTAAAGAAAGTGCCCATGGAAATATCCAAAGGGCAAAACGCCCGGATGAGTGAAGATGGACAATAGAAAATAACTCTCCATTCCTGAAAAATAATGTAGAGCTTGAACAAAAGATTGACGTCGCAGGTGTATTTTAATAACAAATACGGGTTATGTTTTTTAAGGAATGACTGTAATATTTTTTCTGTCTATGAAGAAATAACATTGTTTATGTTATTTCGAATAGACAGAAAAAATATTACAGTCATTTCTTATAATTTAATTCTAAATTCTGTTTTAAACCGGAGTAAACCATGAAAAAACGTTGATGAGTGAGCTGATAAACAAAAAAACGTCAGCCAATCAGAAGACGCGTTACATCCAAAATTAAATTATTCGAAGATAAACATTACGGTTTTTTCTCTATTTTATTTTTTTTTGTGGGCCTCACATTGATAACAGGACATATGAAATAAAAAAAAAATAGCAAATATCAAAATAAGTAAAACAAATTTTATCATAAAACAAACGGAAACCAGAAAAAAAATATAAATAAAGTACATTGAACACTCCAACGATTACAGTAGCTTGTAAATTCAAATATAATGCTAATGAAATTAAACTCCAAGAAATATCATTCAAGAATCATACAAATCCTGTCGTTTCGAAGCAAATTTACGTCTAGGTTTTGTGTGATAACAAATCGTGACTCGTCAATTTAATGAGTTTCGTTGTAGAAATAGCTGTACAGCTTAGAAAAGTAACTAAGGTTTTGAATGCTGTAGAATGTCAATAAAGGAGATTCTGGGTATGTCAATGAGACAGCATTACACATTTACAAATAACCAAAAGATAATTAATCATAATTCTATAAGAAATACAGAAAAAGGAAATTTGAAAATAGTCAAATAAAAAAAAGCTAACATTAGTTGAAACGTTTATAGTCGTTATCCTCCTGCCCCTAATTTTAACTGAATGATCGTCCCCTTACAATCTTAATTTGTACTTATTTTTCTTTCTTTTTTTTTTGTTACCGTATCTGTGTTTCACTATATATCCATGTACGTTCATATATAGAAACACACGATACTTTGTAGGTTGTTGTGTCAACAAAACCCCTATAACATTGCATTCTATATAACTGTCATACAAGGGAGAGGTTTAACTAGCTATCAAACCAGATTTAATCCTCCATTTTCTACATAAGGAAATGTCTGTACCAAATTACTCAAAGGAACTTACTTTAAATAGATCTAACATAAACAGCAGTAGTTGTCCTTTTCTAGATTTAGACATTTCAATTTCTAAAGGGAAACTCCATACTAAAAATTACTACAAAAGAGAATATTTTTCATTCCCTACTGTTACTTTTCCTTTTTTGGACGACGATGTTCCTTTGGCTCCATCATACGGTGTTAATATATCCCAACTCGTTCGATATGCCCGTGTGTGTAGTGATGTGATAGATTTTAACGAACGTACTCAATGCATCACTCGTAAATTATTAAGTCAGGGAGTTCGCTACCTTAAATTACTTAAAACATTTACTAAATTCTTTCATAGATACAAAGATTTGATTAGTAAATTTGGCTGTAAATTTATGAAAACGGTATTCCACATCCTAAATTTTACGGTAATATTGTACTAAAAGCGCGGAAATCACTATGTAATCCGTGTAAACTCATCGACCCTTTTGACAAACTTATTAGTAAAGGTTATCTTATTAATGTTGTAATAAGATCTTTGAATATTGTTTACATTGGCACTAACATCTATTTCGTCATCAACAAATTAAAACATAAACTAAATTTGTATTCTTTTCGAATGGTTATTGGGATGTATAAATACACATCCACGTTAATTTTCTATTTAGAGATTGCTTTATTTATATATAACATGATACAAATTTATTATAAGGTTAAATCCTAACGACCCTACTGTCTGTCGATACTTTTATTTTGGCATTGCACAAGTCATGTCTTCTATGGCATTAAAACACTAAATCCATACCTGTTAACTGACCCGTATCCTCCGTGTCACACCCGAGAATTCACCCCTTACCCGGTTTTTTTTTAAATACCCACCGGGTGGCTACAACAACCCAGGATATTAGAAAATGACCCGTTTTCACTCCCGTATTTCTGACCAGTATTGTTTCCGGTATATAGGAGTCAAATATACTTTCGAATTGCTCGGCGTTTTTCCTTTGAAAAGGTAAACAATTGAAATTATAATTTGCTTATTTACCGTGCAGGAATGGCAGCTATCAAAACTTTACATTTGATTGAAAAGTAACAATTCGAGGATTGCTTGTTAATTGTACCACAGAAAGTTGAAGCCAGTAAAGCTTGACATACAATTCTATGTCCTGATTAAATGATTTGTCGTTTGCAAATATAAAATATCCTGTAGACATGGTAGAAATCCTTTTAAAACAATTTGAACCTTTTAATACATTTCTGCTGGAGAGAATTATTTTGTTATCACTTAAATGTAAAAGCTTTAAATCAAATCCATATGCTCTAGATATTACACTGAAAGAAAACACACTAAGTTCTTTCTATTTATCTTCCTCCTGTGTATAGAAGCACATCAGCTATAATATTGGTTTCTAATTACATGTATAGCTTGGGTTTATGACATTCATTAATAAGAAGAAGTAAACTAGTGTGAATAAAACAATAAAAGGGCATTGTTTTAGAAAGATATTTAATTAATGATAAATATTTATATACTTAACAAATACAAAAGTGATTATTTTTAGGAAACTCAGTGGTACATGTATATGTTATCGTATATAAAAAAAAACTCTCAATACTAAAATTGGACCGAAAAAGTTCGTACGCGTTATGACCTGACTTTTTCTTCATCATTGCAGGTCATGACCTGCATTTTCAGTTTCAGAGGTTGACATGTATGACTAAATCCCTGGGATGTGTTTTAACTGATTTAACTCTGATGCATGATTTTTCATTGTTAATTGTTTTTGGCTTTTAACTAGCTTTCAGTAACTGCGAGTACTCTCAAATCGTACTTTCGTGTCAATTTGACCTGTTGACACAATTTGTAATGCATTTCTGTAATTCAATGTTTACTTATTTTGTGTTATATCTCGTCTCACTATTTTTAATATGTTCCACCTTTAATAAGTATTTAGTATGACGATAGATTTTCACTTCTGTACTCGTACTCGAAACAACAAATTTATTGATTTTGTAAAAAAATGTTTACTTCCGTACTCCTAACAACAAAATTTTTATATTTAAATTTTCCTGTGTACGTTGTTTTATTTAACGCCATTTTGTCCCTGACAAAAAACAAAAAAACAAAACAAAACGAAACAAAACAATTCTTTTATCTTAATCATATATCCTCACAATGGATCTGAAAACCTCAATAAAGCTTAAAGGGTAGCCAAAATCAATCGCTGACTTTTAAAACTCTTTCCATTTTTCAATGGACATAATATTTGTTTATATTAAGAATTAAAAGAAAGAATAGAAATTGTGGTCTTTGCTTATTCATCTTTTACTTTTAATGGAATTTGCATGTGATGAATAATAACTGCTTTTGACCTCAAACTTATGTTACTTCAGAAACATGCAATAATTTAATTTTATGATCGATATGTTTTTCGTGGTGTTGAATGTTTATGATATTGTAATAAGAACAAATTGTGGTATATAAAGGAAAGCAGCTTTTTAGTTAATACAGGGTTCCAGCATTGTGATATATCCATTGTAGTCCTACTGTCGTACCAAGGTAAAATATATATTTTCATAATTTCTTATAAAATTAAAATGGTTTAGGCGATTTGATAATGTTTTTTGTTTTCGACAATTTGAAATAAATTATTGAATTTGAATGACAAAAATATGAAGAAAAGACCTTTAAATATAAAAAAAAAGCATTCGCTGATGTTCTCTTTATAATTATAAATTGTACTCTAAAGAGTCTCTGGCTTGTTTTCTTTTATGTACAGGCTTGTAAATATCTGTGTGTGTTACATTTTAATGTTGTGTTTTTGTTGTGTCGTTGTTATCCTCTTATATTTGATGCGTTTCCCTCAGTTTTATTTTGTAACCCGGATTTGTTTTTATCTCTATCTATTTATGAGTTTCGAACAGCGGTATACTACTGTTGCCTTTATTTATCGTTGTCAATATAATGGAATTTGATGCGACTGTCATACAAGTGAGAGGTTTAGCGCTATAAAACCAGGTTCAATCCACCATTTTCTACATAAGAAAATGCCTGTACCAAGAATTTTTGTGATTTAACTTTTTTCAATTTTAAAGAATCCCATTTTGTGTGAACATCATTTCAAATACCATCAAAAGTAGAATTTCAATACCATAAAAAGAAAAAGAATGCATCAGATGTGTTTACGTTCATTTTTAACTTTTGACAAACATATGGAGTGTTCTGAAACAGATTCGTTTTCTTAAAGCTGAATTTTCCACATCCAATTGCAAAGTATCCCTTAAGGTTATTTTGTTGTTTGCTTATCTCAGACATTACTGAAATTGCTTATAAAATATACTTAAAATCAAAAAATAAATACCGACACTAAATTATTCACACACAGTTGTTTTTGAAATAACTTTCCAAAGAGGTACCAAAATTTAAAAGGAAAAATGCATACATTAAGGAGGCACGAACAAAACTAAGACAAACAAACGACCTTAACATAAAAATAACAACAAAAGTATTACTACGCAAAGGAGATTATTCTTCTTGTTAATATGTAATGTTATCAAATTTGAAATAATTATAGTAAAAGAATCAGAGAAATCAAGTTATTGCCAAAGTCCTGAAAAAAAATCTGTTGGTATCTGCCGTTTATTATACAAACCATTTGGTTTTATTTATTTTATTGTATTTAAAACTTGAGATAATAATTGTCAATTATTTAATCCTTTTTAGTATCAAAAATGTGGTCTACTGGTTTTGTTCTCTTGTGTTCCTGTGCATTAGTATTAGTACAGGCGGCTGGAAAACCGATCTACAGGAGATACAATGGATATAACGGTTATGTAGGTTACAACGGATACAATGGCGGTGCAGGATACAATGGGGGTGCAGGATACAATGGCGGTGCAGGATACAATGGCGGTGCAGGATACAATGGTGGTGCAGGATACAATGGTGGTGCAGGATACAATGGCGGTGCAGGATACAATGGCGGAGCAGGATACACAGGCGGTGCAGGAAACAATGGTGGTGCAGGATATAATGGCGGTGCAGGATACAATGGCGTTGCAGGATACAATGGCGGAGCAGGATACAATGGCGGAGCAGGATACAATGGTGGTGCAGGATATAATGGCGGTGCAGGATACAATGGCGGTGCAGGATACAATGGCGGTGCAGGATACAATGGCGGTGCAGGATACAATGGCGGTGCAGGATACAATGGCGGTGCAGGATACAATGGCGGTGCAGGATACATTGGCGGTGCAGGATATAATGGCGGTGCAGGATACAATGGCGGTGCAGGATACAATGGCGGTGCAGGATACAATGGCGGTGCAGGATACAATGGTGGGGCAGGATACAATGGCGGTGCAGGAAGCAATGGTGGGGCAGGATACAATGGCGGTGCAGGAAACAATGGGGTAATGGAAGATTCTACCATTGCTTCAGTCGATTACGAAACTGTAGATACTGGGTATAATGGAAACGAAGGAATTGGATATAACGGAAACAGAGGAAGTGGATACTACGGGAAAAAAAGAATTGTATATGGGAAAAGAGTAAGTCTTATATCTAAATTTCCAGTCATTCTTATACCTTAACTGAAAGTCATTCTTATTTATCAAAACATCAAGTCATTATATATCCATACTTTAAGTCATTTTGATATATTTATTTCAAATAGTTACTTTCTATTGAAAAGAGACATTGATCTTAGAGGGAACAGCATGATTAAAAAAATACTGATTCAATTTGTTTCTTCTTTTTTATTAAATTTAATACAAAGTTGTTACCCACAATACAGATACCAAAGTTATATGCATTTTTGACATTTTTTTTGTAAAATGAACCCTTAATTTTTTATCTTTATTTAATACTTTGTTTTTATGATGAAAAACTTAAACGAGTTCTTATTCTTTTAATTTTCAATATGTTTAAACGTTTCTCCATTAGTAATGATATTTTATAATACCATAGGAAAACAACAAGTTATTAAAAATATTTTCTTTCTTTTTCCGTTTTAGTCATACGCCAAAGCCCCAAAAGTAAGTATATTTAATGTACAATTTGTGTTGTGCTTTTTTTCATGTTCTTGATATATTTTTATTTCATTTTTTGGATGAAGAAATTTGTTTTGAAAATCATGATGAATATAGAAAAATAAGAAACGAAATGAAATAGTCCACCAAAAATAACATTAAAAAAAAAACTTACGCTAGTTCCATGTTATATGAATCTCGGGAGATACATCACTGAAACAGCAACACAATGATCCAAAAACCATAAGTTATGATCCGTGATAATATAAGTTCTGTTTTCTATTTATTTACTTCAGCTATTTTATGGCGTTAATATGTAAGAGTGATTTAACACTTTAACAAACAATGTTAATATTTTCTTCCCATGATATTATTTTTTCTGTATCATTTTAGGGTGGTTACTAAGTAACCTGTCAACAAGATACAACCAGATTGTCAACGGCCAATTTCTGTATTTTTAGAAAATTTCTGTATATAGTTATATTAAATTTTGCATTGAAAGATAGTTTGTTAATGTTTTTAACATGTTAATATCTCTTTTCTTTAACAATCAAATGACAGTAAAACAATACATGATTTTATCAAAGATTAAACTTCACCTGACAAAGAGACCTTTACCCTCAAGGATGTAAAATCCAAACCTCCCGATAACTGTTATTCATTGTTCTAATAGAAATATAGTCCCGCTGGTAATGTTATTACTTGATTCTTTGGCATCGTAAAGAATGAATAATTAAGAGAGTTGTTAGCCATATGCCTGAAATATTGAGTTCCTCGGCCTATCAACTGGAAGAAGATGTTCAAGTTACCTATGGATGTAGTTAAGGACTATGCTATAAAAACGAGTAACTCACAAGCAATATGAACACAACCTAGACACTTTATCTGAATTGATCAAAGCTATTCGGCGATGTATTCAAAAGCGCATTCAAAATCTACGACGTACAATGTGCACACAGATTTTAAGCCTTTTCAAGAAGCTCGAGATTTTGGATACTTGTCTCTCTTCACGACAAATATGTTGTTGTTCCAGCATACAATGATCGGCAATCGAAAATCCATCCCTCTCTATGCAGCAACTTTCCAGCAGCGTCCGCAAATGAAGTATATATCTCACAGATGAAACGATTTTCGATAGCTTACATTTCCCATCATGATTTACTTGATAGAGGGTTGCTGCTAACAAGGAAGATATTAAACCAAAGGTTCTATACGGTAAAGTTGTGGTCATCACTTCGACAATTTTACGGAGGCTATCACGAGCTGAATTGCATTTATTTCCAGTGTCTGAGGGAGATATGAAGTTTTGTCCACGAGGGAACTACAGTACTATAGTGAATAATAATTTTTCACAGGTGACGACAGATATGTTCCAATTGTCATAACCTGACATCACCGAATCAAACTTCTCACCGAGTTTGTACTTACGAAGGGAACCACATGTGGAGCAGAATCTGGTTACCTTTTCAGAGAACCTGACATATCCACGGTTTTGGTGGGGTTCGTGTTGTTCATTCTTTATTTTTTCATGTTTTTTATACTGTTCTTCGTCTTTTGGTCGTTTTTTGATTTTTGCTATGGCGTTGTTAGTTTGTAATCAAGTTATGAGTTTGAATATCCCTATTGTATCTCAATCTTCTATTCTCCACTTTTGAATTCACATAAAAAAGAACGATCAAAATTATGCTGTCCATATACTGGATACCTAAACCCTACAAAAATCCTTAATTAAGAACGTCATTGTCCGGTTTGTCAAGATATTCGACTAAACACTTTGATAAATTTCTTACCCCATTCTTTTAACACTAAAGATGACCTTCAGAAATATTGCGATGATGTATATTCCACAGCTGTTTTCAATCAGATGCATCTTCTCAAAAATCCTTAAGATCTACTGCACAATCTTCAATCACATTCTTTAAAATTTTGCAGTAATATCATGAATTTAATTTTTTGTATACACTAACACTACTATACCCACTGTTCAACTGAAAGATCGAAAGCATCGTCGCATTAAACTGAGTTTTTTTCTAAAAAAAAATAGGAATTCGTAGATACAAATTTCTTGTTTTACGTTCGCAAAAACTCTTCCTTTGTAAAGAAGCGCACCAATTCCGAAAACAAATACACCGAAGATGATATCATCAAACGCTGGACTTTAGATGGTCAACATATTTGTTGAGTTTGTGGGTCGATATTTCAACAGACAGTCGGTATTTCAATGTGTACTTATAGTGCATCCCTACTAGCCAAATTATTTTTGTTTTCATATATAGCAGAATTCATACAAAATCTTCTCAAAGAAACAAAAAGAAAAAAAACCACGCTAAGTTCTTTAATTTCACTTTCTGATACATTTTTGTTGTACTTTCATTCTATAACCCTCATTTCAGTCAGCGCTTGCATATCATATGTCCCAATGGATACTATAAAAACTAGTAGGTATGCTTCATATATTTTCCTCGATTTTTACACAGATGGACGATTGCAAACTAGAATATATGACAAACGTGATTATTTGAACTTTTTAATAGCGAACTTTTCTTTTCTCAGCAGTAGCATACGTCTGCTCCATCGTATGGTGTTTACATATCTCAATTGATATGTTATGCTTGTGCATGTTCAAGCCCTACGGACTTCATTAGCAGGAATATTCTCCGTACATTAAAACTGATTTAACGAAGGTAGAAGGAAGAACGACTGAACTCGACACTACATAATTTTTACGGTTATCCTCACGATTCGGTAAACATATAAAATTTGTCTATGTTTCAACTTATTTACGACATGTTTTCGAAGTCCTTTTGGAGTTAATTCGAATCCTTAATATGTGTTTGTTACCTTGAATAGTCTTTTAAATTGATTTATGAGATAAAACCATCAGTAAACTACTGTTTCTCGTGCTTATTCTTAAACACTATCATAATTTCGCTGAATAGTGCATTAAAACTAGAAAAAAAAGGATAATATTTTGATATCATAATTTGTTTCCACTTAAAATGAAATTAATGACTAATTGAAAGGTCTTTATTTAAACCGAATGATCTATAAAAATTTCAGATTCACAATTTACTACATATTAATAATCTAGAAAATAATGCAAAAACATTCATTTGTCAAACATTTCCGTGATTAAGATAAGGTTCTTATTTTATAACTTTTTGATTATATCTTGTCGATTTTTGGTCAGACGTGCTTTAACCACCTATAATGAAAGCAATTGTAAAAATATATCAATTTTCTTTTAAATCTTATTAACCTAGACAAAAAAAGTACGAAACCAAATTCAGTTCAGAAACTTCTAAAAATGAGGCCAAACCCGACACGTTTCTACAGTGAAATTGGTTTGAAGAATATAACAATTAGCAAAACCCTTACTTCATAGCATGCAACAAATAGTCCCCAACATATGACAAAAGTTATACTATTCAAACGAGAAAACTAATGGCCTGGGTAATTTACCAAACAATAAACGAAAAATGACATCTGTGGATTCATTTGATTTTTTCGTGGATATCAATTTTCGTGGATATTTGATTTTGTGGTTTTGCCAAAGTATGTATAAATGCCAATAGAAAATTTGTTCTTCGTTGAGCATTTGATTTCGTAGTTTACCTATACCAACGTAATCCTCAAAAATTGGTATCCAACGAATAATAATGAATCCACAGTATAATAAATGGCAACACACAACAACTAATTTAAATGCACAGGCATAATTTGACGGGGATAATGTTTGCAGGCGCCTAACCTTCTTCCCGCTGAAATAGGACAGTGGTGAAACAGCATAAGCAAAGACTATAAAAATTAGATGAGATGTACTTTATTCATTAGATCGATACAAAGCACACAAACAATTAACAAAAAAACAAGACACACATAACTGTTCGTCTGTTCGAGAGTATTGCAAGCTAGTTCAGAGTCAATTACAATTAATAGAAAAAAAATGTATCCAAGACAAAATATCTTTCCGTCCGGTCTTGCTATTGTTCTGACACGTTCGTGTCTAGCCGCCAGATTTTTATGAAGCAACGATTTTGGAGGCAATTATCATCGCCGATCAAGTATTTTTGTCTTGCTTAAGCTAATAAAATTAGTACAGATCAATTATATCAGTAGGAAATATGTCACTTTGAAAATTTAATTAATATTGAAAAATGCCCCTCATGCATTCTCACACCTATAATTCTTGTCAAACTGATTAAAATACAGATCCCGTGTCCAAGCTTTGCTAATAAGAATCTGACAAAACACCCAATTTGATTTTCGGTTATGCAATTTATTACATCAGCAAATGATATTTCAGCCTTTAAATATCAGAAGGTGTGTATTAATCCGACAATTTCTTGTCGAGATTCTAATGATACGTGTATGAAAGATTTATATCATCAAGGATTTCTACAAGTTTAATAAACAGCTTTTCTTGTTGGACATCTATGAACAAATTCAAAAGACCCCCCCCCCCCCAAAAAAAAAAAAAAACAACAAAAAAAAAAAAAACAAAATAAAAACAAAAATATGTATATATTGGAGTTTTGTCCTTTGACAGATAAAATAAATGTATTGGTTGGAATGTTGGAACAATGTTCTTTTTATCTTGACTATATTGCCTAAAATGGATTTGAAAATCTCAAATAAGCCTAAGGGGTTTACCCAAACCAATTATTGACTTGTCAAACTATTTCCATTTTTCGATGTAGAAAGAAAAGAAATTGAAGTTTTTGCTCATTCAACTTTTACTTTTAATTGAAATTTGCACGTGAAGATTAATAACTGCTTTTGACCTCAAACTTATCGAACTTCAAAAACATACAATAATTAAATTTCATGATCGATATGTCATTCGTGGTGTTGAATGTTTATGATATTGTAATAAGAACAAATCATGGTATATAAAGGAAAGCAGCTTTGTAGTTAATACAAGGTTCCAACATTGTGATATATCCATTGTAGTCCTCAGTCATACTAAGGTAAGATATATGTTTTCAAAATTTTTACTGTTAAAATTATAAAAAATTAGTAGAATATATAATTTTTTTCAACATTTTGAAATGAATCAAAAAACTATGACGAAAAGGCCTAAAAGTACAGAATGAGTCACTGTCTTGTTTTGATTTAAGTTTAGGCTTGAATATACTTTACAAAAGGAATGCATTCTTCAACTTTAAAGAGTTTCCTTTTGTGTGAACAGCATTTCAAATACGATATGAATTGGTATCGAATGTCTCCATACGTACCTAATGATAACATATTAAACGTATACATCAGATTTCTTCACGTACATTTTTAACCTTTGACAAATATAAAAGTAAGGCTATTGTTTTGAAACAGATTCAATTTCTTAAAATAAATTTTCCACGTCCATTGAAAAGTACTCCTTTTGGTACGTTTGTTGTTTTCTTATCTCAGACATTAATAAAATTATTTATAAAATATGTTTAAAATCAAAAAAATATACCGACACTAAGTTATGTGCACACACACACACACGTTTTATTGAAATAAATTTCCCAAGGAATTCCAAAAGTTTCAAATAAAAAATGCATGCAAATTATAGGAGCCACGAACAAAACTAAAACTATGAAAAATCCTTAACATAACAGCAACAAATGAGATTTACCTTATTGTTTCTATGTTACTGTACGAAATTTGAAATTCCGAAATTATAGTAAAAGAATCTTAGAAATCAAGTTATTTCCAAAGTTCTGAATAATAATCTGTTGATGTCTGTCGTTAAGTATAGAAAGCGTATGATTTAATTTATTTTGTATTTTGAAATAGAGAAAATAATTGGCAATCATTGAAATCTTTTCAGGATCGAAAATGTGGTCTGCTGGTTTTGTTCTTTTGTGTTCCTGCACATTAGCATTAGTACAGGCGGCTGGAAGACCAAACTACAGGAGATACAATGGATATAACGGTTATGTAGGTTACAATGGATATAGAGGGGGAAACGGTTACAATGGCGGTGCAGGATACAATGGAGGTAATGGCTACAACGGAGGTGCAGGATACAATGGTGGTGCAGAATACAATGGTGGTGTAGGATACAATGGCGGTGCAGGATATAATGGTGGTGCAGGATACAATGGCGGTGCAGGATACAATGGCGGTGCAGGATACACAGGCGGTGCAGGATACAATGGTGGTGCAGGATACAATGGTGGTGCAGGATACAATGGCGGTGCAGGATACAATGGCGGTGCAGGATACACAGGCGGTGCAGGATACAATGGCGGTGCAGGATACACTGGCAGTGAAGGATACAATGGTGGTGCAGGATATAATGGCGGTGCAGGATACACAGGCGGTGCAGGATACATTGGCGGTGCAGGATACACAGGCGGTGCAGGATATAACGGCGGTGTAGGATACATTGGCGGTGCAGGATACAACGGCGGTGAAGGATACAATGGCCGTGCAGGATACAACGGTGGTGTAGGATACAATGGCGGTGCAGGATACAGCGGAGGTAATGGATACAATGGCGTTGGTGGATATAATGGTGGTAATGGTGGAGGTAATGGGGAAGGTGTAGGTGATTTTGCCATTGATCGAGTCGATTACGAAACTGTAGATACGGGGTACAATGGAAACGGATACAACGGAAACGGATACAACGGAAAACGAGGAACCTCATATGGGAAAAAGGTATGTGTTATTTCTAAACTTCAATTCATTCTTATATCCACACTTTTTAAAAGTCATTCTCATATATCAAAAAATCAAGTCATTCTCATATATCAAAATATCAAGTATATATCAAAATATCAAGTGATTCTCATATATCAAAACATCAAGTCATTCTTATATCCATACTTCAAGTCACTTAAATATCCACATTTCAGGTCATTCTTATATATCAAAACATGAAGTCATTGTTATATCCATATTCTAAGTCATTCTGAAATCGATACTTCAAATCGTTACTTTCCTTCGTAAAAAGACATTATTCTTAGATGGAACAGCATGATTTGACGAATTTATTTGTTTCTTCTTTTTCATAAATTTAATACATTCCAAAAAAATTGATATGTTTTTCATCATGTTAAATCTAAAGACAATACCATAAAACAGACAAGTCTGTATGAGAGACAAAGTTGTTTTCATCAATACAGACACCAAAGTAGTAGGTTTCAGTATATTTTTTTTTACTTTCTACATTTTTGAGTTTGTTAGTTGTAAAATCAACCCTTAATCTTTTTTGTTTTAATTATTAATATTTTTCATCCGGATGACGAACTTAAATGCTTTCTCATTCTTATAATTTTTAATTTGTTTCTCAGGTAGTAAAAATATTTCATAAAATCATACAAAAAACAAGTGATAAATAATATTTTTTATTCTTTTTCCGTTTTAGTCATACGGCAAACCCAGAAAAGTAAGTATGACTAACGCTTATTCATATTATGCTTTTTTCTTGTTCTTGGTCATTTATTTTGATAAGTTTTGATCTTTTTTTTTTAAATTCATGATAAATAAAGAAAATAAGAAACGGAACGAAAAAAGTCCACCAAAAATAATAATCATGAAAAACTTTACAAGTGTACCATGTTATATGAATCCTGAAAGATCCATCACTGAAACAGCAACACAATGATACGAATGCCATAAGAAACTGTACGTGTTTATATTAAGTTGGTTATTTTTTCATTTCAACAACCAGTAATCAAAATTTTTTTCTTTCTTTTTCCGTTTTAGCTATACGTCAAACTCCCAAAAGTAAGTATGATTAATGTATAGTTCGTTTTGACATCTATGCTTCAAATAGTTTGTTTCTATTGAAAAGAGACATTGATCTTAGAGGGAACAGCATGATTGATAAAACTGAATCAATTTGCCTCTTCTTTTTTTCTTAAATATAATACATTTATTTAACATTTTTTCATATATTTTTGGTCATGTTAAATATAATATCTTACTGTAAAATCGGACAATGCTGTATAACAATAACAGTTGTTACCCACAATACATATACCAAAGTTATAGGTTTCAGAATACACAATATTTTTGCTTACTACCTTTTTGACATTATTACTTGTAAAATTAACCCTCAATTTTTTATGTTTATTTTATACTTTTTTTTTCTGATAACAAACTTAAACGATTTTTATTAATTTAATTTTCAATATTTTTAAACATTTCTACAGTTAAAATGATATTATATAATACCATAGGAAAAAATAAGTAATTAAAAATATTTTCTTTCTTTTTCCGTTTTAGCCATACGCCAAAGCCCCAAAAGTAAGTATGATTAATGTATTATTCGTGTTGATACCTATGCTTCAAGTAGCTGCTTTCTATTGAAAAGAGACATTGATCTTAGAGGGAACAGTATGATTAAAAAAACTGAATAAATTTGTTTCTACTTTTTCTTAAATTTAATACATTCAACATTTTTTTAATATATTTTTGGTCATGTTAACTATAATATCTTACTGTAAAATCGGACTATGCTGTATAACAAACAAAGTTGTTACCCACAGATACAGATACTAAAGTTATAGGTTTATAGGTAAAATTTATATAGTTTTGCTTACTACCTTTTTGACATTGTTACCTGTAAAATCAACCCTTGATTTTTTTTATGTTTATCTAATACTTACTTTTTCTGATGGCAAAATTAATCAATTTCTTGTTATTTTAATTATCAATATTTTTCAACGTTTCTCCAGTAGTAATAACATTTTATAATACCATAGGAAAAAAACAAGTAATTAAAAATATTTTAACTTTCTTTTTCCGTTTTTTTTTTAGCCATACGCCAAAGCCCCAAAAGTAAGTATGATTAATGTATAATTCGTGTTGATATCTATGCTTCAAATAGTTACAAGGAGGCTATTAAACCAATCGTTTCAAGTGGTGAAGTTGAATTCATCCATTCGTAAATTTTACCAACGCCATCACGAGATGGTTGACCGTTATTGAATATCTGTTTCACAGATGACGACGGATATGTTCCAATTATCGTAACTACAATTTCGTCCCCTTTCCCCTGAATGTAACCTACAGAATTAGACATATCACCGGGTTTGTACTTACATGAGCAGAAAGATGGGTGTCACATGTGGAGCAGGATCTGCTTATCCTTTAAGAGCACCTGAGATCACCCCCAGTTTTCGATGTGGTTTGTGTTTCTCAGTCTTTGGTTTTCTAAGTTGTTTTGTGTACTGTTGTTTGCTTGTTCTTCTTCTTTTTTTTTTTTTAGCCATGGTGTGTTTTTTTATTTATGAGTCTGAATGTCGCTTTGGTATCCTTCGCCTGTATTTTCTATTAAAAAGAGACATTGATCTTAGAGGGAACAGCATGATTGAAAAAACTGAATCAATTTGTTTCTGCTTTTTTCTTAAATCTAATACATTTAACATTTCTTAATATATTTTTGGTCATGTTAAATGTGATATTTTACCGTAAAATCGGGCAATGCTGTATAACAGACAAAATTGTTACCCAATATACATATATCAAAGTTATAGGTTTCAGAATATATATATTTTTGCTTACTACATGAAGTTTCATTTTTATAATTTTTAATTTGTTTAAACGTTTTCTCGGGTAGTAAAGATATTTCTTAAAATCATACCAAAAAAAAAGTGATAAATATAAGGTTTTTTTTCTTTTTCCGTTTTAGCCATACGGCAAACCCAGAAAAGTAAGTATGACTAACGCTAATTCGTGTTATGCTTTTTTCATGTTCTTGGTCATTTTATTTGATATTTTTGGACGAAGAACTTTTTTTAAAATTCATGATAATTAAAGAAAAAAAAAAAGAAACGGAACGAAAAAAGTCCACCAAAAAGAATAATAATGAAAAACCTTACAAGAGTACCATGTTATATGAATCCTGAAAGATCCATCACTGAAATAGCAACACAATGATAAAAAAAAACCCATAAGAAACTATACGTGTTTATATTAAGTTGATTTTTTTTCATTTCAAACAACAAGTAATCAAAATTTTTTTTTTTTCCGCTTTAGCTATACGTCAAACTCCCAAAAGTAAGTATGATTAATGTATAATTCGTGTTGATATCTATACTTCAAATAATAAATAGCGCGTCGGATACAATGCAGGCGATTTGGTGTCACGATATCTCAGTAGCATGAGTTCGAATCCCGGCGAGGGAAGAACAAAAAATTTGCGAACGCAAATTTACAGATCTAACATTGTTGGACTGATGTTTAGACGAGTTGTATACACAGAATGTACAAAGCCATGTATCACCATCACTACTGGTGATCCGATGGGTCAATCTGTTGTAGAGTTGTCACTGGTTCAGACGTACTTATATATATATATATATATATTTGCTTACTACCTTTTTGACATTGTTACTTGTAAAATCAACCCTTAATTTTTTATGTTTTTTTATTTAATACTTTGTGATGACAAACTTGAACGATTTCTTATTCTTTTAACTTTCAATGTGTTTAAACGTTTCGCCAGTAGTAATAAGATTTATAATAGCATAGGAAAACAGCAAGTAATTAAAAATATGTTCTTTCTTTTTCCGTTTCAGCCATACGCCAAAGCCCCAAAAGTAAGTATGATTAATGGTTAATTCGTGTTGTGCTTTTTTCATGTTCTTTGACATATTTTTATTTTATTTTTTGGATGAAAAAAATTTATTTGGAAATTCATGATAAATAAAGAAAAAAAAAAGAAACGAAATGAAATACTCCACAAAAAAATAACATTAATAAAAAACGTTACGCAAGTTCCATGTTATATGAATCATGGGAGATACATCACTGAAACAGCAATATAATGATCCAAAAACCATAAGTTATTTTTGGTGATAATATAAGTTTTCTTCTCCATGGCGTTAATTGTAAGAGTGATTTAACACATAAACAAACAATGTTAATATTTCCTTCCCATGATATTATTTTTTTTCTATATAATTTTAGGGTGGTTATTAAGGAACCTATCAACAAGATACAACCAGATTGTCAACGGCTAATTTCTGTTTTTTAGAAAACTTTTTTATAAACTGTTATTAAAATTTGCATTGAAAGATAGTTTGTCATATTTTTTAACATGTTAATATTTCTTTCTTTAACAATCAAATGACAGTAAACAATACATGATTTCATCAAAGATTAGACTACACCTGACATAGGGACCTTTACCTTCAAGGATGTTAAATCCAAACCTCCCGATAACTATTATTTATTGTTCTAATAGAAATACAGTCCCGCTGGTAATGTTATTACTGGATTCTTTTGCATCGTAAAGAATGAATTATTAAGATAATTGTTAGCCATATGCCTGAAATATCGAGTTCCTCAGCCTATCAACTGGAAGAAGATGTTCAAGTTACCGATGGATGTAGTTAAGGACTATGCTATAAAAACGAGTAACTCACAAGCAATATGAACACAACCTAGACACTTTATCTGAATTGATCAAAGCTATTCGGCGATGTATTCAAAAGCGAATTCAAAATCTACGACGTACAATGTGCACACAAGAATCCCCAGATTTTGGATGATTGTCTCTTTTCACGACAAATATGTTGTTGTTCCAGCATGCAACGTCTCTAATGATATTGTTTTTATTGGTAAAAATCGTTATTTCGAATGTCTAACTAAAATACTCGGAACTCACAGCAATACTGAGAATCCCACAAAACCCCATATCATTTACGAAATAGGAGATTTTTGAAAATCATAAATACGTCCCTCTCTATGCAGCAACATTCCAGCAGCGTCCACAAATACAATATATATCTCACAGTTGAAACGATATTCGATAGCTAATCACTTCAGGCAAACTTGACCTTAGATGGATTTGGCTACTTTTTTGGTATTCTTTTTAGTTTTGACAACTCAAGCATAAAAAAGTCTGTTCTTTTAATCACAACTAGAACTCACCCGTGACATCGTGAGTCCGTGACTGAATTGAAGTACCTTATACTTTGCATGGATTTTTAGTATTCGTATTGTCATCTGATGAAGTCATGCTGATTATAAGGTGCACAGTTTCTCTGATTTCAAAATCTATCTGTTTGAACCTACATCCGGAAACTAAATGTGACTGGTAGTAAGATCCGTCACGGCCAGGCTGGGAAACTGGGTAGGAAAATGCTAACATCAAATCTGTACCGATACAGTGTGTCCTTCTTAACGCAATAACTCATGGTGGTGCTCCTAATAAAGGAGGAAGACACAAAACATGCATTCATACATATACTATTGGTATCGGTATCGGATTCGACCCGGTACTTGTTTATTATTGGTAATATTAATTATGTGGAAAACAAGTGCCTGGAATGGTGTAATTCTAATCAACACCTTTATCCTATATTTGTTATATATAAAATTGAATGTTTTGATTCGTCGTTTTTATGTCATGGCGTCTAACAAATTGGACCTCGGTATTTTAGTAGTATAGATATGTTTCACCTGTGACGCTTTGGAGCTTGACATTTTGTCTATATAGCTGTCTAATGTAGACGCTCATGTGTTTACATTAAGTTTTCTTTTTGGTTATTTGTGTCGTTGAGTTAATATCTCGTTGACTAAGCCGCGCACATTTTCTTTTTATTGGGAAAACTTAGAAAATGCCCTCTTGCAGGGAAAAATTGTTTACAGAATGAAAATTTTAATAACGGTTTCAATACCTGTTATAGAATGCGATAAAATAACTATAAATAGAAATATGAGTGATCACAACGAAGCGTATAGGTGGCACGGTAGTATTTCCTGGCCCATAAGGGATAATGATAGCCTTTTTAGGATTTTCACCACTTTCTAGCACTGCGAAAAATTCTACATACACAGTTAACTGAAGTACTTTCATTATACTAATCAGAAATAAATTTGAATATGTATCATGACCGTTTACTTTTTTTGCTATTTTTAAAAACATAAGGCCACTAGTGCTTTTAGGTCTTTTATCATGCAGTGAATACAAAATTTAAAAAAATTCTCAAAAATTCATTTTCACCTGTATGTAAAATTATTTCATATTTTTCTACACCTGATTCATCCCTCAGTTTGGGAAAGTATGTTCAGTTGATACTGTATTTTTAGTCCAATCACACTGTTCAGATACATTGACCTAAGTAAGGTACACAAAAGAGCAACCTAAATTCTGGAATGCAAATACTACCGTGCTACCTTAACCAAGACATTACAAACTTGAAATCAGTCATGACACCTTTGATGCATAGACTTCTTACTAGGAAAAATATTACAATAAAGAATACTAGTCTTCACTTATTTCTTACCAAAAAAAAATTTAAAAGTATACCCCTACCCCAGCTGGCAGATTTTCACTTTTTTTTCATCTGAACATTTTTACTTAAGGAGTGAACAAAACCCAAATATATGTTGTTTCAAATCAACACAGAAGTAAACCATGGTGATTCAGGAGGAATTATTGGATTGCCAACTCTATTTATAGTTAATCTGACTGAAAGAAACAGTTTAAGCACCAAATCATGAAAAATGATAGTAAAGTCCATTCCACATTTTACAGCATGCCTTACATTCCTTTAAGCATTTCCAGATTATGAAGGCAATATAACAAGACTCTTTAGATGGCAGTTTACTATTATTCAAAGATCTTTTTGACAATACATGTACTAGAATATATCTTTAAGTTGACTCATTGTCTATTTCTCATGAATGCATTCAGTTAAATTATGTCCCCTTACATAATCAATTTAGCTTTATTGTGCTTTTCAGGGTCCGAAAATCAAATAAATTAATGACATTTGCATGGAAAATGAATAAACTATTTAATCTTGCTGATATACAATCATAATCACATTCTTTGTCCAAAAAATTGTCTTGTCAATGTAAAGAAACCCCTAATGCTATCTCTATTTCAGCTAAATATGAGGGCTAAATGAATAAGTAAGGACCCCTTAACCACTTACTAGTTCCAAAAAACTCTTAACTGGTGTCATGTTACCACAGAACTACAAATTAAACCTGAAGAAAACTAGTATAGCTGTACTTGTGTGGAAAAAAATAAAAAATTATGCACTTTATTTATTACGGTGAAAATTATAGGACGTACAGGCAACTAAAATATGTCGCGTCTCAAATTCCAGTTGTTGCGCAAGTGTCAGACACTGCGAAAAGTTAAAACGAAACTTTATAATTAAAAATGTATTGCAAGTTACTTAAAAATAAAGAAATTTTACTTTCTAGGTAAATTTTAACATTATTACCCACAGATCAGGCAAAATTTGCTGAATCAGCAATTTTCACTATCAGGGGTGAAATTTAAGGGCTGTTTTTATTCTAGTTGACCTTAATCAACTTTTTATTGATAAACTTACAAATTGCATAGGTAAAAAAAATACCTTTATTGATTTTGTGTAAACATATATATCCCAGTTAAGGTGGTACGGTAGTATTTCCTGGCCCATAAGGGATAATGATAGCCTTTTTAGGATTTTCACCACTTTCTAGCACTGCGAAAAATTCTACATACACAGTTAACTGAAGTACTTTCATTATACTAATCAGAAATAAATTTGAATATGTATCATGACCGTTTACTTTTTTTGCTATTTTTAAAAACCTAAGGCCACTAGTGCTTTTAGGTCTTTTATCATGCAGTGAATACAAAATTTAAAAAAATTCTCAAAAATTCATTTTCACCTGTATGTAAAATTATTTCATATTTTTCTACACCTGATTCATCCCTCAGTTTGGGAAAGTATGTTCAGTTGATACTGTATTTTTAGTCCAATCACACTGTTCAGATACATTGACCTAAGTAGGGTACACAAAAGAGCAACCTAAATTCTGGAATGCAAATACTACCGTGCTACCTATACGCAGCGTCATTTGGTACATTGTGAACAAATTCCGGGATAAAGAAATAAAATCAAAGTATCAATATATAATTTTCTGAACATTTCATTTATTTCTTCAACTTATAATTTCTACATATTGCACTACACTACTTTTTGACATTTTTTTTTTCTATATCAAATATGTATATCTGAAAGACAAAACTGATGCTTATATTTAAAACAACCCAAATTAATATGCGTTACGGATATCTTCATAAACATTAAAAGTTTTGACAATATTGCAGATAATCTCAGAAGGAAAATAGTTTTTTTCTTTCAGGTAAATTATTTCCCATAAAACTAACAGATGAAAAATAGATTAAAAAAACTATGAAATCAGATGCTAGAAATGAATATTTTACTTTCTTAATGTCAGACAGATTTGTACAATATTGTATTTGATTAAAATCATAAATTGATTTCAAGTAATTGATTAATGCTTGCTTAACATTCAGTAGCAAATATGTATGTTGAGGACGATAACAAATTAACAATAAAAATATAATAGGTAGCCAAACGGACGGCCAACTTTGGCAAGGGTTTTACAATTACAAAAATTCGCATTGCTATTAGACGTGTCTCGGTATTAATACATCAAACATTCATGTATTTAGGTATGATGTTTCTTTTGTAAGTCTAGTTCGATATTGTGGTATGTCTTATCGTTAGTGGTTTGAATTCTTTTTCTATTTTCTATATGTATGTAAAAGTTAGGATAATTA